TTAATATTCTGTCATCAAACTTCAAATACTTCACCCAAGCATTCTTAACTTGGTTTTCTCTTCCTCGATATACTGGAAACATTTTTCATAATGCTCACCCAGACTGGTCACTGCATGACCAAAGTGCCTGAAAGTGCAACACATCTGGGAAGGCAGCTGGCTAGAGACAGCAGACTTTGCCAATGGCTTCCTCTGCGGTGGTGAAGGCTAAAATGTATCCAGATATCCAAACCATCTTCTGGATTGTCCTTTGTTTCCTGTCACCATCAACCTGTTTCTTTCACATCACTTGCATAAATACACCATTATGCAATCTGGAGCTCTTACATGCTGGGGATACTTGTTCAATAAATCTGAGATTTGCACTTTCATTTTTCTTATTGACATTAATTCTAATTTTGCTGACAACCAGGACTGATCTTTAAGGTTTCCAAGGATTTCCTTAAATGAAGGATAGGGTCCATGGAACAGCTGAAAGTGCAACATTATGCAGTTCCTTAGGCATAAGCCCTGTAATGAATCCAGTATGAATTACTTCCAAACATGTTGATGTAGGACACCCTATAAGAGAATGCTTGGTACCAAAGATGCTAGGTAGCATATGAATTGCTTTGCATTCCACACAATCAACTGGAGAGTAATTCCTCCAAAGCAGAATTATTTCAAAATTGCAGAGAGGGAAAACTTAGACTGGTAGACAGTTCTGGAGCTTCAGATATAATACACATAGCAGAAACCAAATAGGGAAAGAAAGAGTTAATGGATTTCAAGAAAGCAGAGTGATACTATTCTGTGACATCTACTGTGTCCTGTCTTTTACAGCTTCCCTGCTTAATGCATTTAAATTCCCTAGTTAGCCTCAGCCATCTCATGCCTAAATCTCTACCTTTCCTGTAATCCCTAAAATATTCCGATCTCCTAATTATCTCATATGATGTAACTCTTTATTGAAAAACTCTTCAGCCTTCTAGACCCTTGAAATCCTCCTTCAGAAAATTAAACCATTCAAATATTTCTTGTATCTCCTCTAAAATTTTCTCAGCCTTGCAATCACCCAGCTTTCCAGAGCACAGAGACAGTTAACTCAGTTTCCCTATTTTGCACTACTCTTTGTTTACAAAATTTCATAAAAATAGATTTCTACCAACTTCCATTAAATTGTTCTATTGTTCGTATTGTATAATTTAAGTACAGCTTCCCTGTCAAGATTGCATCAGAATAACCAGTCACATCCAGGTCGACAATTTAAAACAAGATATTTCTCAAATGTGGGAAAAAGGAAGAAGCAGAAAGATTTTTTAATGAGAGTCCCATACTGACTGCCTGAAGTTGGTTGCTCCACTCTGCCATTCAAGCTGTCCTCAAAAAGGCATCACTTAAGTACAAGCAAAGTACAAGAAAAAAGCACAAAGATTTTTTTTTCTGTTTTAAGGAGAGTCCCAGATTGGCAGGGTGAAGTTGACTGTTCCATTCTGATTGCTGCCTTTGAAAATGCATCTTGTAGATACAAGCAACAAAGGAGGGTTCTCAGTGTTGTATAAGATGTGTGCCTCACTGAAAGACATTTCTTGTGGCCTAAAGAGAATGTCCACTGTTCTTCCTGGTGTCATTAAGTGATTTCCAGCCAGTGGGCCAGTGGAAAATAATCTGCACTAACTCCCCTTGTGCAACACTAATTTTTTTAGCCAAGGTTTTTCCCGAGACTCATTGCATCAGGGACTTACCATCTCCTGCTTAGGTCCATGTTACTATCCTTTTCCCAGTGATGTGTGAACAGTTCTCTTTCCACTTTATAGAAGTCAGCAGTTTCGGTAATTAAATATTTTAAATAAGTGCTGTGAAAAGAAGTGTTTTCACTGTCCTTTCTAATGCTATGCCTGGACTTTGTCTTTCAAATCTCCTTTTAAGATTTTTGTCAGAGGCAGGATGGATTCCAGCCTTATTTTAGAGAAAGGGGGAAGAAATTGAAGGGTCACCATGCATGATGCATGGACCTGCTTCTGGGGCAAATCAGAAAACTGATCCACCTTTGAACACTGAGGAGTTAATTAGTCAAGTCCTAGCTGGGGAATTTAGAATTTTGGGAGGAATCTTCCTAAATTACACCTGGAGATGCAAAGCTTACCTGAAATAAACTGAATACATTTTCTTGCTAATTTTGTTTTGACAAGCTAACAGATCAGCCTACATAGGAGCCTTATGTTATCCTAAATAGGGTGAGCACAATATTCCTTCAAGTTAAGTAGCCTCAGTTCCCTTTGGAAGTACTTAGACTGAGTCTTTCCTCTTGATGATAATAATCTGAAGATGGAACAACAGGATCATGCTAAAAGTTTTTTTTCTTAATTCCTCCAAGGGAAGTTTATTCTACAAAAAAAGAAAGAAGAAAAATCACCATTCCCCAAGGCTACCTGAGATCTCCAGGTAAGCAATCATCTTCCACGTTGAGGACCCTTGGACATTCAGCTACAATCATCACTTTCTCATGGCCTTTTCTGGAAACAAAATCTGTGGAATGTAGATTTTATAATGGTCATCCCTTTAAAATTAGAGAGAGAAAAACTGAAAGAATCAATAACAAACTAAAGAGAGAGAAAAAAAAGGATTACTTACTAAGAAGAGGACCCTGGTTCTAAGCCTATATGGATTCAAATCAATAGTAACTAAAGTGAATATAATGGCTTCATATTTTGGAAATAACTCCAATTTGTGCCTTGTGAAAGAAAGAAAAGCCTAAAAATGTTTTAATTTTTATGGATTTTGAAAAGATGGTGCCTCTAATGCAAAAAAAGAACATTTTTAAAGCCACAACTGGTTTATACTCTTTACTTAAAAATATTTTTTATTGAGTTTTTAAAATCACTTCCTTGAACACAGAAAAAAACGTTTTTGAATTTTTTTTGTTTTCTAAATGTTAAAAACACATGGTTTGGTAAATTTCAACCAGGAAAACACATGCACACACACACACACCAGAGAGAGAGAGAGAGAGAGAGAGAGAGAGAGAGAGAGAGAGAGAGAGAGAGAGAGAGAGAGAGAGAGAGAGCTTTGCAAAGTTGAATAGAAAAATATGAATTTTCACATACATAAACATTTTGAAGCAACCTGTGGATCACATATTGTTTCCCCACTAGCAAACCATAATTTAGGTTGATGTAATTTAACTGGTAACACAAATGCTCAGACATATTCCCTCCAAACCAAGAGCAAAGAATGATACTCCTTATCCATGTGTTTAGACATGAGCATGGGCTGAAGTCTGTCACATGACCGTCAGTAAGGTGGAGGCTTCATAGTACAGGACTTGCCAGCAGGTTCGGCCAGCAGCCACAGTTCTAGTTCCCTTGACTGGATGTCACAAAGACATAGGGTTCTCTTAATAGTGGCTTTGTAGTGCTTGTATGGATGATCTCGAGGTCTCTTCCCAGTCTTTAGTACAACATAGAGCAACCATATAGTGGTCATCCATTCTTAAGATATGTCCCCCATTACCACATTGGTATTCTGATAATGAGGGATTCAATGCTGCTGGACTTTGCATGATCCCTCAGATTGGAGATACAGTCGTGCCAACAAGTGCCAAGGATGGAGCATAGGAGGCACATGTGAAATTTCTCCAGATGTTGTGTCATTGGTACAGAGTGTAGGACTCATATCCATACCACATAAATTTAGGTATATCTTTAAGAGTGAAATCTAAGGTGTTACAAGTTGCAAAAGAAAGAGGAAGATTGGGTTTACCTGATTTAAGATTATATTTAGCAGGTTGCTATTTACTTGACATTTGGGTGGCATAGGTTTTTATGGTACGATGAAGCCTGATTGCTACTGGCCCTTTTGGGAGAAGTGCTACACATATTTAGTGGCTGATACAACCACACCAGCAGCAACAGCAATAGCACTTAGACTTACTGTATATATTGCTCCATAGTGCTTTATTGCCCTCAACAACCAGGGCCCTCATTTTACCAATTTTGGAAGGATGAAAGGCTGAGTCAGCCTTGAGTCAGTCAGGATCGAACTCCTGGCTATGGGCAGAGTTAGCCTGCAATACAGGTAGTTCTCAACTTACAACAGTTTATTTAGTGACTGTTCAAAGTTACAACAGCACTGAAAAAAGTGACTTATGACCGTTTTTCACATCATATTTATGATGATTGCAGTGTCCCAGGTCATCTAATCCCCTTTTGTGACCTTCTGACAAGCAAAGTCAATGGGGATGCCAGATTCACTTAACAACCAGGTTACTAACTTATCAACTGCAATGATTCACTTAACAACTGAGACAAGAAAGATCGTAAAATAGGGCAAAACTCACATAACAAATATCTTACTTAACAACAGAAAATTTGGGCTCAATTGTGGTTGTAAGTCAAGGACTACCTGTACTGCATTCTAACCATTGTGCCACCACACAGCAATAACAGTAACAACATCATCAGCCACACAAAATAAATTTAAAACTGCTAAAACGATTTAAAAGTCTGAAATAAAAAGTCAGGGTGTTGCTAGGTTAGAAGATTGGAAAGGTACGTATTAAATAGGTGCCGTGGTGGCGCAGTAGTTAGAATGCAGTATTGCAGGCTGCTGACTGCCAGGGGTTCGATCCTCACTGGCTCAAGGTTGACTCAGCCTTCCACCCTTCCGAGATCGGTAAAAGAGGACCCAGATTATCGGGGGCAATATGCCGACTCTGTAAATCGCTTAGAGTGTGCTGTATGACACTCTGAAATGATATATAAGTCTAAATGCTATTGCTCTGAGTGCTATATGGGATAAAATTGCCATTAAGAAAAGTATGCATGGGGATTCTGAGCATGGGGAAGATTTCTAATCTTTGAAGTTAACTCTGGTCTCTTGATGACTTTCTCCACTTTCTCTTACCTAGGAAGGAAGTGGGGGAAGGGGAAAAGAAGGAAAGTGGCTGGACAGACATTGGAGCCTGGAGGTTGATTTCCTCATCTGCAGTCTGCCCTAAAGAAGGAGTGTATCAGTGCCATTCATCTCCCCCAGACTTTCTTGAAGACTTCCTTCACATCTTTGTTTCGTAAGCTGTAAATCAAAGGGTTGACCAGAGGGTTGACTACAGTATAGAACAAGGCATTTGTCTTGTCCCAATTTGGAGTGTGATAAGAGTTAGGTGTGGAGTATATAATGAGTATGGAGCCATAGAAGATGGAGACAGAGACCATGTGAGCCGAGCAAGTGGAGAAAGCTTTGCGTCTCCCTTCAGTTGAACGGATGTGAATAATGGCTGCCACAATTCCAATGTAGGACTTCAGAATGACAGCAGTGGCTGCCAGCAAATTGAAACCAATGACAGCAGACAGAATGGGTTCATAAACTCTTGTGTCATCACAGGCCATCTTTCCAAGTGGCGGCACATCACAAAAGTAGTGGTTGATGATATTACTACCACAGAAATATAGACGGAAGGTGTTACCTGTGTGTACAATGGCACTGACAAACCCCACTATGTAGGCTCCTAACACCAGGTGGACACAGAGCTTCTTGGGCATGGCAGTGGCATAAAGGAGTGGGTGGCAGATGGCCACAAAGCGGTCATAGGCCATGAAGGCCAATAGGAAGCATTCACTCCAGCCCAATCCAGCAGAGAAGAAAAACTGGGCTGCACAATCAGCTAAGGAAATGTGGTTGTTCTTGGACAAACAATTATATATGATCCGAGGAGTGTAGACCGAGGAATACTCAATGCTGCTGAACTTTGCACGATCCAAGACCCTCAGGTTGGAGACACAGTATTGCAAACAAGTGCCAAGGATGGAGCAGAGGGTGCCTATGTGAAATTTCTCCAGATCTTTAATGTGTCGTTGGTGCAGAGTGGAGGACTCGCATCCATGCCATGTGGATTTAGGTATATCTTTAAGATGTTACAAGATGCAAAGGAAATAAGAGGATTGGGTTTACCTGATTTGAGATAATATTTTGCATGTTGTTGTTTAGTTTAGATGGAGGAATGGATGTTGCTGAGAATTAGAAAGCTTTTGTAGTTAGAAGAAAATAAGTTGAGATTTGGGTGGCATAGGTATTTATGGTACGATAAAGCCAATATTAATGCATATTTTGAAAATCATTTTATTAGATGGGCTTTTAGGAGAATTTGGAATAAATAAAAACCTCCGACCACAAAAAATATTTAGTGGCTCACATTGCCAGAATAGTAGCAATAACAGTAACAACATCATCAACAACACAAAGCAAATTAAAAACTGCTCAAACAATTTAAAAGTGTGCTGATGCTGTTAGGTTAAAAGATTCGGAATGTACATCTGTGGGATAAAATTGCTGATTAAGAAAAGTATGCATGGGGATTTTGAGCACAAGAGATGATTGCTAATCTTTAACCTTAAGTCTTCTCTCTCTATGACTTTCTCCACTTTGTCTTACCAAGGAAGGAAGTGAGGGAAGGAGGACAGAAAGAAACTGGCTGGTTGGCTGGAGGGCATTGGAGCTTAGAGTTTAATTTTTCTCCTCTGCAGTCTACCCTAAAGAAGGAGTTTGCCATTCATTTGTGTGCTGTGAATCTCCACCAGACTTTCTTGAAGGCTGCCTTCACATCTTTGTTGCGTAAGCTGTAAATCAAAGGGTTGACCAGAGGGTTGACTACTGTATAGAACAACGCAGTTGCCTTGTCCCAATTTGGAGTGTGATAAGAATTGGGTGCGGAGTATGTAATGAGCATGGAACCATAGTAGAGGGAGACAGAGAGCAGGTGAGCCGAGCAAGTGGAGAAAGCCTTGCGTCTCCCAGCAGCCGAACGGATGCGAATAATGGCTGCCACAATACTAATGTAGGACTTCACAATGACAGCAGTGGCTGCCAGGAAAGTGAAGCCAATGACAGTAGTGAGGATGAGTTCATATACTCTTGTGTCCCCGCAGGCCATCTTCACAAGTGGTGGCACATCACAAAAGTAGTGGTTGATGATATTACTACCACAGAAGTGTAGGCGGAAGGTGTTACCAGTGTGTATTATAGCATTGGCAAACCCCACTGCATAGGCTCCTACCACCAGCTGGACACAGAGCTTATTGGGCATGGCAGTGGCATAAAGGAGTGGGTGGCAGATGGCCACAAAACGGTCATAGGCCATGAAGGCCAGTAGGAAGCATTCACTCCCACCAGCTGTAGCAGAGAAGAAGAACTGGGTTGTACAACCCGCTAAGGAAATGTGGTTGTTCTTGGACAAACAATCATATAAGATCCGAGGAATGTAAATTGAAGAATACCAGACATCCAGGAAGGAAAGGCTGCCCACAAAGAAGTACATGGGTATGTGCAAGCGGGAGTCCAGGTAGATCAGTGTCATGAGGCCCAGATTCCCAATCAATGTGAGGATGTAGGAGGCCAAGAACACCACAAACAGAATTTTGCGTAGAAATGGATCTGCTGTAAACCCAACCAAGATGAAATCAGTAAGCAATGTGCGATTATCTTCAACTCCCATCTTTTTCCAAGCATAACCTGTTTAGGGAGGAAAAACAAGGGTATTGCATTTTGGTGCCCTGCATAATGAATTCATGCTATGATTTTGAAAGATGTTTTGTAAACAATTTATGATATTTGGTATGCTGTTGCTAATCATGCCCCAAACTCATTTGACTTCTAGTTTTTGAAAATTCTGTAAACTTTTATAGAATGCATGTTTGGCATGAAAATAATAGTATTATGTCTGCTAACATTACATGCACTTGACTCCATCTATTTGGCAAACCCTTTCCTATGACAGGCTTTAGTATCTAAAATAAACAAACCAATATTGTTATGAGTCAGAGGGCATACACATTTAAATAATAATAATAACTATTTGTGGAAACGAATTATGCTCTTTATTCTTGCAATGATGTTCACAGAAATACAAAGGAAAATAAATAGATACTGAATGTTGCAACTAAATCATACAGTTGAAGAAGAAAAAAGCACATTTGAAGAATATCTGAAGGACAGTAAAGAAGATGTACTGAACTTATTATTGGGTGCAATACCAAAACAACTGGAGTACCACTTAAACACCATTGGCATTGAGCAATTCACCATCAGTCAACTGCAAAAGGCAGTTCTCTTCGGAACAGGTTTTACCTTTAATATTATTTAGCAAAAACATCTGCCTATCCCAGGTTCTTGGGAAGGTCTTGATAGGTGGATAAAAATTCCAAATCGAGTCTGAACATTTGGATGACTATGCAACAAACCATAATTAATTATCTCTAGTGAGGGACTACTTGACTATGATTGTGGAACTTACATGCTGTGAAGAAGATAGGAGCTATGCCAGAGGTTCAATCATACTGGACAATTCTCATTGGAGGAGTCAGACAAAGACTGTTTCTATCATGAAAAATATGGTGAAATGTAAATTAGATAGATAGAAAACAAAGAAATAATGATGTCTTATTACAGATCAAGCCCAACAAAAAGAGAATATTTGAAATGAATGGAAAAAGCAACATCCAGTATCAGAAATAACAGATTAGAAGCTAGCAGATCAACAATGATTTATAATACAAAATAAAGTATTCACAGAAGCAGTATTGGAAGAATTATAAAGGCCAATTCAGTGCAAAGGAAAGAAAGCCTTGACAGAAGTAACTCAGATTGTAGAGGCAAACCAGGGGGAGTTGGCAGTAGAGAAAGCCAGCACGTCTATCAAATCGTTTTAGTTCTGAAATCAGGTACCCTCTCCTCTGCCTCAAAAAACAAAACAAAACTAGCCCTCTAACTTAAGAAGTAGAAGAATTGAAACAAAGAATCACCGAGCATCTAGAACAGCAGAAAAACAAAAGAATAGGTTTGCTTGCATTGATTGATGCAAGAAACAGCTAGCACAGGCATTAAAAGATGCCAATATGTATGATATCAAATATAAGCACCGGCTTACTGCAAGAAGCAAACCAACCAATGTAATTATAAGTGAATACCTGTGATCCTTCAAGCTGACAACATCAAGCACACCAAAGTCAAGAAAACGTTTACATGTGAATACATCAAGAGAGCGAAGAAAATCATAAAGTCCAAGTGGAGGAAACACCCTCAAGGCAATTTACCCCAGGGCAATTCCAGTCGTTAGATTCACAGCTGGAACAGTGGACTGGAGTGAAGCAGAACTAAAAGCCATAAATAGGAAGACCAGAAAAATAATGAAAATAAATAATGCCCTTCATCCTTGCAACAATGTGGACAGACTCTACTTATCAAGGTAAATAGGTGGGTGTGGAATGCCGCAAGTACAGTGGACAGTTGGCAATGAAAAAAAGGGGAGCCTTCCTGTGAACATGTCCAATGGATGATATACCCAGGGAAGTTTGTCTCTCTCTGGAATGTCATTTTTTTCTTCAAATTATTAACAGAAGGAACAATCTTTCCTTCAATTTATATGACTCTTCTCGGTTACAGGGAGTCCTAGAATTAATCTACAAGTTCTCCCATAGAGCAGCGGTCTGCAAGAAGTTTCAGGAGCTGTGCTTTTGAGCATCTGATGAACCGTTCAACTGGGGAGGGGGGACTGCAATCATTTGTAGTGGAAAAAGCAGCCATTTTGGAATTTATTCTTCAAAGGAACAATAAATTGTGCCTTTCATTTCTTAATCAATTTATGGAATTACTCTCTGAATTAGCTAAAAGAGGCTTTTTCAGTCCACAGCTTGCTACCTCTTTCTGAATCTCTGTGCAATTTTTGAGACTTTATTGTTAAATGACAAGGAAGTGGGTTGTTGGAGGTAATCTAAAATAAGGAAGCATGGAGGGATTTGTTTTTTGTTTTTGTTTTTTTTGATAGAGAAACATAAGGACAGAAATTTGAGGTTTTATTTTACTATTTTTAAATAATCTTTAGTTTTGGATTGCTTTGTTATAGGTGGCTGAAACTGATTTTTATGAACTCTGGCCAGGAACTAGCAACTGCTTTATAAAAAAAATCTATTCTTTGACCACAAGGGAGAGCTAAGACGATGGCTAAATACAAGCATATTTTTAGAGAAGTATTTGAATTTTTTTTTTACAGAAAACTATCCACTTTATAGACTAATTATGTTTTAAGGAAGATATCAATGTTATAGATAATGTAAAAGAAGAGCAAGAGGTGCAATCACATATAGAAAATTATCAAACCACTGAGGTAATTTCACAGATACCTGACAATGTAAAGGACTTAACTGCAACTTTGGAATATAAATCTGACACCAATCTTTATTATGATGATGGATTAAATACAACCTTCTCAGTGCAACTGAAACAAGCAAATCCACAACTCTCAAGAATACAAGTTTGGGACTTTTTCTTCATGGATACTAACAAGGTTGAGAATTTTTTGAGAAAACAGACTTGATAGACATTCCAGAGAAGAAGATTTTATTCTACGAGAATAAGCTGGAGTGAGTTAATCTTAATGAGGCAATTGGAGTTAGGATGGATATTTACAAATCTGATAGATGTAACTGAAATAAAGTTCTAATATAATTTTATGTTTATAAAGTGGATTTGAAAATGATTTTTTTCATATTCAATGCCTGAGTAATTCTTAAGGTTTGTAAAATATTATTGAAACTGAATTTGAAAATATGAATGTTAGGAGGAAGTAAAAAAAAATCACCAGTGGTCAATTGCAAAAGCTTTACTTGGAAGAGCTTACATCCTGTGACAATACCTTTAACGTTGTAAAACATCCACATCTCCCTATCCCAGGTCCTTAGGAAGGATTCAATAGGTAGATAAAAATGGCAAATCCATTCTGAACATCAGGCTGACTGCAAGGAATCATAATTAATGATAATTATTAAAGAGTAACCACTGCCAAAAGTCTTCATTAGAAACTTGACCAGAGGTTTGGATTTGAATGTACTGTGTAAAAACTATTAGAAGCATCAAGTTGAAAGGTTTCTGAAATGAGTAGGTCAAAATCTATGGAACTTTTAAAATCCCAATAGAGAAGCAACTGGTGGACAAAGGCCCAAGGTGGACATAGGAGAGAATCAATCAAGAGCAAGAAAATGAGAGCAGCAGTTTGGACTGAGCGGAATACAAAGTCCATGTTCTGCACCCTGAGAGTGACGGCTTCCACCATTTCTGTGCTTCAGAGACAAATCACTTTTAAATCAATACAGTAAACCATTTCCAATATTTTTTAAAACTTAATTTTGTAGGGGCCGCAAAGAAAAAAGTGAAAGAATAAGGGATTATAACAATGAGTTATATAGTATCCCAAGTTAAGACAAACAAAATCCTCCTAGAGTTTGGGTTCCAGACAATATAAAAACCATTCTTGTGTGTTGGGGAACACTGGATTTGCCAGGACCTCCTGCTCAAAAAGATAAACTGCAAGTGGGGAAAGGGACATGGATAAATACCTGGTCAGGTCCAGAGTCCACGTTTTACAAAAATGGATGTATTCTGAGTCTGCAAAAAGAAAGAGAGGAAAAATGGATGAGAACTATAGTTATATCAGCATCCCCGAAGGCAGGGAAATAACGGATACTGTTCTGGAAAATAAAAAAAAACTCTGAATGCTGTGTATTGCAAGTGGTGGCACATCACAATTCCTTCCATATACCTGGCAAGGAATTGATCCATATGTTGTGTAAATTCTTAAACAGATAAGTTAAAAGTAGATCTACTTGCAGTTTATGTTTAGATTCATATGAATTTGAAATGCATTTTGATAAGGTCTGGAGCCCAAAGTGATTGAATTAAAAGTATGATAATGAACATCATATCTGAAAAGTATTTGAATCTGGAAGTTTGCATTAATGATAATAATATACTGTATCAACCAGGCATTCTATTGCATGTCATTTATGGACTAAATGAAATCTCAGACTGGAAACATAAAATTTAGCATTCAGAGTAGATTTTCTGAGGAGCTTGCAACCACAAAGTTGGCATCAAATTAGTATCTGAACATGTTCCCATCTCTCATTTTCAGCCTTCCTTTTGGCGTATAATTCTTATTTTGACAATATTAATATTGGACTCAGAAGTTTGAACTTTACCATCAACAGTCTGGCATCAAACATCTCCAAATATTCTCCCAATGCTCCTATTTTTCTCTAAAATCTTCTAAATTCTTTACATTTGTCTTTTTTTTCTTGATAGCTTTAACTTATTTTTGTTTTACCTGCATCGTGAGTTCAGTTCCTTAGTGTCATTATTCCATACCTAAATACTTCTGTTCTGTAAAATTTCCTGATCTCCAGATTACCTGATATGAGAGTGCACTGCTTTATTGAAAAGCTCCTCATATTTTTGGAGCCAGTGTAATCCTTAATATTCTTCTCCAGAAAACAAGATCATTCAAATATTTCTTCTATGTTCTCTGAAGCTTTTCTCAGCCATAGAAAAGCCATAGGTTTCCCAGAGCCCTGCAGCTGTAACTTAATTTCAGTGACATGCACTGCTCTTCGTTATGAAACTTCAGAAAACTATATTTATAGTAACCTTGACTAAGTTGTTATT